CACCTGGACAACTCACACCTGGACAACTCGCACCTGGACAACTCGCACCTGGATAACTCGCACCTGGATAACTCGCACCTGGATAACTCGCACCTGGATAACTCGCACCTGGACAACTCGCACCTGGATAACTCGCACCTGGATAACTCGCACCTGGACAACTCACACCTGGATAACTCGCACCTGCATAACTCACACCTGGACAGGCCACACCTGGATAACTCACACCTGGACAGGGCGCACCTGGATAACTCACACCTGGACAGGCCACACCTGGATAACTCACACCTGGATAACTCACACCTGGACGGCCCACGCACCTGCAGCCGCCTTCCGCGGCCCCGCCCTGCCACCCGTCCCAGCGGGCACGCGCCGGCCCCAAGCAGGCACTCACACCCTGGATAACTCTGCACCGTGACTGTAACTCTACACCGTGGTAAGCAGGGCCACACCTGGGATAACTCACACGCGGACCAGGCCAACCTGGGATAACTGCACACCCTTGGACAGGGCGCACCTGGGGAGCTAACTCACACCTCGGACAGGCGCACGCCTGATACTCGCACCTGCCATAACTCACCACCTGGACAGGCCCATCAGCCTGGCTAACTCACACCTGGACAGGCCACACCTGGATAACTCACAGCTGGACAGGGCGCACCTGGGATAACTCACACCGTGGATAACTCACACTCCTGGACAGGGCGCACCTGGATAACCTCACACCTGGACAGCTGCGACCTGGATAACTCACAGCTGCCCAAGCAGGTCCTTGCATGACGCGGTCCGGCGCCCGGGTCCCTCGGCTCTCCTTTAGGGACCCCCTCCCCCTCCCGGGCCACCTGCCACCGTCCCCGCGCCCCGCCCCGCCCCGCCCCAGCCTCCCCCCCGCGCCCACGCTCCGGCACGAAACACGCTCGCAGGCGTGCCGACCCGGGCCAGGTCTACACCGGCGGCAACACCGTCCACACCACTGGCTGCCCCGAGACAAAGAGCCGTCCCCCCTGGCGGATCGAACTCGCAGGGTGACCGCTGGGAGCGGGTCCCGGCCGGGCGACGGCGGAGACGCGACGGACGGCATCCCGGCTACCGTCCCGGCGACATCGTCCCGTCTGCTGGATACAGCCGTACCCGACGCCCGCCTTCCAGCGAAAAATCACTTAATTCTCTCTCTCTCGGCTCACCGCGGGTGTAGACTCGGGGTTTTTTTTTTCCCGCCACGCGGGCGCCCGGACCTCAGCCAGTCGAGGTAGAAGGTGATGAAGATGGGGCTGGAGGTGACCCTGATCTTGGCGACCGCGGTCGGAAGCTTTCCAGAGCAGGGAAGGCGAAGAACAGCACGTTTCGCACGAGCAGCAGCAGAGTCCAGTAGCTGGACGCCCGTCGGCGGCGAGGGGCCAAAACGGCCGTAAGGCGGCCTGTCGTCGCTTCGCTGGGACCCCAAGATTCCCCCAGCCATTGCACCTGGCGGGTGAGTGTGTGTGTGTGTGTGGGGGAACCCGGGTGGGCGAGACTTGCCGGCCTCCCTCCCGGCCTCACCTGGACCGCCCGTGTCCTCCGTAGAGCAAGAGCAGGCAGCGGTGGGGCACGGTTGAGTGTCGGCGCCAGGGGCGGGTGACACGGTGCTGGCTTGCATGTCCACTGTCACCAGAGCGACGGTCACCAGCCCTGGGGATGAGGGTTGGGAGGCAGAGTCGCCCATGGTACCAGCCGCGTGGGAGGCCACCTGGCTCCGATAACCTTGAGCCTCCCATTCAGGGGACATTATGTATTTTTGCCTCCTTTATTATTATTATTATTTTTTTTTTTTGGAGACAGAGTCTCGCTCTGTCGCCCGGGCTGAGTGGAGTGCCGTTGTGGCGCTCAGCCTTCGCTCACTGCAGCCTCTGGCCTTGAGGCTCAAGCGATTGCCTCCCTGCCTCGGCCTCCCTCACCGAGTAGCTGGGAATGGACAGGCATGCGCCTCCACGGCCCGGCTCGGTTTTTTATATATATATATATATATATATTATTATATATATGTGGTTTATATATTAGTTTGGCCAAATTAATTTCTTTTTATTTTAGAGAGACGGGGTCTCCGCTCTTGCTCAGGGCTGGCCCAACTCCTTGGCCTCCAGCGATCCTCGTGCCTGGCCCTGCCTACCGAGGAGCTGGGGACTACAGGCATGGTGCCTCCACGCCCGGCTAATTTTTTTATGTATATTGTTATAGGTGATCAATTAATTTCTTTCTAGTTTTAAGTAGAGACGGGTCTCGCTCATTGCTCAGGCTGGCCTCCAGAAACTCCTGACCTTCCAGCGATCCTGCCCTGCCTCGGCCTCCCTAGTAGCTGGGACTACAGGTAATGCGCCTCCACGCCTTGCAATTCTATATACAGTATATATTTAGTTGGATCAATTAATTTCTTTCTATCTTTTTAGTAGAGACGGGTTCGGATCTCGCTCTTGCTCAAGGCTGGCTTCCCAATCCTGACCCTCGAGCAGCTGATCCTCCCGCCTCGGCGCTCCTAGCTAGCTCGGGACTACAGGGCATAGGCACCCACTCATGCCGCTAATTTTACTACTATTATATATATAATTTTAGTTGATCAATTAGTTTCTTTCTATTTTTCTGTAGTAGAGACGTCGTGGAGGTCTCGCTCAGTTGTCAGGCTGGCCTCCAACTCCTGAGCTCTTGACGATCCTCCGTGCCTCAGCCTCCCTCACCGAGTAGCTAGGAACTACAGGCATGCGCCACCACGCCGCCATCTTTTTTTTTATAAGATATTAGTTGGCCAACTTAATTTCTTTCTAGTTTTTTCTATGTAAGGAGACGGAGGTCCTCACTCTTGCTCAGGCTGCCTCGACCTCCTGACTTCGAAGCGATCCTCCCGCCACGGTCTCTCCGCCAGTAGCTGGGATTACAGTTATTCTCTATCATTTTAATTGGCCAATTAATTTCTTTCTAATTTTTTAGTAGAGACCGGGGGT